TAATACAAAATTAACAAATTCGTCCCACTTAAGAGGAATTGGGTGAGTTTATTTTATACTAGGCAATGTTTGCTGTAACAATTATTATCCAGAAAAGTAGCCAGTTATGTTACAACGTATACAAAAAATGTTTGACAATAAAAATGTTTTAATCTACTCTTGCTTTTGATTTCAAATCACAACCACATGGGTGACTAATAGCCCATTCTCAATATTCCAGTTGAATGGTCAAGCAAAAAACAAAGAAAAACTGAGGACGATGCTACGGGAAAAAAAGATTATTTTATAGATTTGTCTCGCGTTCTTTGCGCTTGGCTAGGAAACGGAAATATTATCGAATGTGGATTGTGAATTATCGCGGCTTTACTCAATCGAATTGTATTTTTGAGTCAAGTTCATGCAGCCCTCTGACTCAGTTACAAGTAAAAAGTGCACGCCGCTATCCTATTCTTCCACGTTGACGACTCTTTTGCTTTTTCTTTTGCTTGGGTACTTGTGCATTGTTATATTTATAATTTCCAAAATATACATTGCTTTGTTCATACGGTACCCGCGGGTCGTCCCAACAATACATATTACCCACAAACTGCCTACCCTCTTCTACATCTTGTTCAAATTCAATAAGTGATCCCGTAGGGTTGAAGTCCCACCCATTACCCTCATCCCTCGACTCATCCCAGTCATCTATGTGTTCTTCAACAAGAAGATGATCTTGCAAGTGAGATACCGTACGTTCGCCCCACCCATTACAAATGATGATTTTCATTCCATTTTCTACAGTGCTTTGGAAATTGTCGCGGTCATGTTGGAGACTGAAGTCATCTTGTTCACGAGGTTGGTTTTCTATGTAAGGCACCTGATTTGTCAATGTCACCAAGCGACTGTTGGCTTCAGACGATACAGACAAAATATTGATATTGTTACCATCCTGCAGGACTTTTTGTGTGAATTGAATGGAATTGTCAAGTCCATTCAATTTTTGGGTAAGCTCTTTGTCTTGTTCATCAAGAACCTTCGTCTTGTTATCAGCAATTCGCTTAACTTCTTCTTTAAGTTCTTTCTCTTTATTCATCAAAAAAGCAATTTGCTCTTGGACAGCATCTTCAATTTCCTTTAAAGTATTGTCGCATTTTGTTTTGATCTTCTCTTTCATCTCTCTTACCGTTTTTCTTGTCCCCTCCACCTTGGACCTAGCTTGAACGGCATTTTGTGCGCTACATTTTAGATTCTCAGTCAACCTTCCAGCCACTTCATCTATAAACTGAAACTGGTGTTCACGATGGTCGATGATGGTGCAGTCACGACAAATCAACTGCTGACAGGATTCACAGTAAAGCTTTTTGACTTCACCTTTGTGTTTGTCACATTTAACTTGTTGTGTCATGGCTGGAGCACCTTGTTTTTTGACTTCTTCAAGGCTCATGATCTTGTGTTCTTGCGTGTCTTTGAATCTCTGGTGAGCTTTAAGACAGAAATCGCACAGCAACACACAACAGTCAGAACATCTTCCTTTGGCAGCATCGTTACTGGTGCAGTTTTCACAAGATAACGATCCACTTTGTGTTTCAGATGTGGAGATGGTCAGGAGTGACATAAGATTGTTCATCTGGAAATGAGCTTTAAAATGATTTGTTCCACTGGGACCAAGCTAGAAATGAAGGAAACATGAACAAACATTATGGCT